TTTACGAACAGGGATAGATGTAGGCAGTATCAGCCACTATACCAGCCCCTTAGGAACAATATTCCGATTTGTTCAAATACGGTGGTCGTTTAGCGATTGAAGTAACACATTCTCTTTCGGATGAACACATAAATGAAAAACACGACCCACATGAACGCTCAAGAAAACATCAAAGAAACAAAGGTAGTAAGCTGAGCATGTTTGAAAAAGACCGCCGACATCAGCCAGGACAACAGGTCAACCATTTTTAGGTCTATAGAGACGCAAGGATATTTCCTCACCTTTAGTGCTGCACAATGAATCGGAGTGTGAGCAGGAACGGAGAGGCGTTGCGGATGGGAGAGTCGACGAAAACGTAGGTGCCCTCCACCGCATTTGTTAGCTAAAATTGGAGCGGGAGGTCGCATTCGATCCATGTCTGTCATTCGTGTTCGTGTGGATTCAGCTACCGTCACTGCACCTGGGCCCAGTTGCCAGGAAACCACACCTCCTGTGGATCCGGTCGCGTACATGCGATTTTGAGGACTGAATTGCAGATCATGAACCCAACCGGAATCACATGGGGCAGCAAAAATGTGACTGTGGCACACACAAAAGTAGAGGGGGAGAGAAGACCACAAGTGAACATTTGGTATAACGGCAACAACAGAACACAATCGAGCAAAAACGCTTGAAGACAAAACACCTTGTTTAGGAGTTGTAACTGCGTTCTCCTTCCACTTATATATATATTTCACACTTGTCTGAGAACAGACTGTATGCCAAGCAAATTATGGTGCAATAATCTTTATAAAAAAGAAAAACGTTCCATCATTAGATTGAGGGCTGAACACTGCCAGGTTGACCAACTAATTTCACTTCAGTGTTATAACACAAGAGTAGAAGATGCGAATCAGAATAGTGATATTCCGTGTTCAGATCCCGTGACCTGACATATTTCATTTGGAACACAAATTGCCGTTGATTGGATATGATGGTCAGTGAAATCAGTTTCCGGTAAGGTAAGAAACACAAAAAAGAGTTAATTATCCTTATGGAGTGCCTGATTGGAGTACCACCTTTGAGTGGATAGACTGTAGTGTCCCCTTGGCGGCATCCTTTTCCTCATTCATTTCCATTATGTATTCAACTCTAACCCGTGGCTCACGAACCTGAGGCGTGCATTAAAGATCACACCCTGGGAAAACGCTAAATAGCAGGGCTGAACCAGATTGAGGGTAATCGCCTTGGCGAGACGGCGCACCGCGTGCGACGATAACCACTAGCG